CCATTTTCCAGATGAGAAAACTAAGGCTTGGAGAGACGGAGTTATTCAAATTCATAGACATCCTATGAGAAACAGCCAGAATTAAACACAGCCATGACTCAGTGGGTTTCAATCAATGTTGCCCCTGCGGGAACATTTGGCAATGTCCATCAACATTTTTGGTTGTCACAACCAGGGGGTGCTTCTGGCATCTAGTGGGTAGAGTCCGCAGATGCTGTTAAATGTCCTACAATGAATAAGAAAGCACAAGACTTTCTCACTCACGTGTTTCATACAGGAGCATGTTCCCAATAAGCACCTACCTATGGGAGTGACTGTATTTACCAACTTGACATGTTCAGAGGAAATACACGTTTTTCTTTACAGAGCAAAATGAACCCAGATGACTCTTCTGTCCTTTTAATATTTTTCAAAGGCTCAGGAATATTTTTCAACAGGCTGGGGCAATTTTCCAGGGAGTAGTGCTTCACCACCCACCACTCCCAACCCAGAATTAGCCAGTCCAAAATGTCTACAGTCCTGAGATTGGGAAACTGTGGATGGAGGAAAGACCAAAGCCTGTGCTTCCTAAGCTTCAGTTTTTAGTACCAGACACTTCACATTGTTTTCTTTATTTGTAAATACTATACCGTCTTTTTCTGAAATTGACTTAATATGCTTAAAATAGTTAACTATATACCTTAAACGTTTATGCCAGTCAGCCCACGTTGGATGCATTATTATTTTCTAATACACATTGAAATACCTGTAAAACTATTAATGTAACAAAGATCTTTGCTGGGATGCCAGCAAAAATCATCTTACCTACCACCACCAGACCCGGGGAGCCATACTTCAGAACGACTTTTTTTTTTTTTTTTTTTGAGATGGAGTCTCACTCTGTCGCCCAGGCTGGAGTGCAGTGGGTGATCTTGGCCCAGTGCAACCTCCACTTCTCGGTTTAAGCCCTTCTTCTGCGTCAGCCTCCCAAGCAGCTGGGACTATAGGCGTGCACCACCAATTAGGCCCGGCTAATTGTTGTATTTTTAGTAGAGACGGGGTTTCACCAGATTGGCCAGGCTACTTTTGAACTTCTGACCTCATGATCCGCCCACGGAGGCCTCCCAAAGAGCTGGGATTACAGGCGTGAGCCACTGCACCCACCGGATCCAGACCTAGCTCACTTCTACAAGGATTCCCTCATCTCTTCAGGAGAGAATAAAATACATCAAATCAGCTTGTTGCTTGAAACTGGCAAAGTGCTAGCTATATTTCACTTCTGTTTCACCTGTTTTTTTTTTTTTTTTTTTTTCTCCTCAAGGCTAACAGTTGCTTAAAAACCTCTTTGAAACCCTAAAAGCCACCTGATGAGGGCAATTAACAAACCACTCATTCCGGTGAGGACCAGAGCACATATAATGCAATTTGTTGAGTTGTTTAAGGACAGCAGTTGCAATGTCCTGGTAAGCTAACATCCTTTGTTATTCATACATGGTTCCCTTCTCTAATTCTTAGGGAGTACAACTGCATTCTTGTTGCTGTGTGTACTGCAGTTGACATAATTAAGGCAAGAGCAAATGAGATTCTTCTTTAGATATGAAAAGTGCCCGTGTTGTAAATAATAATGTCATCCTCTCTTTCATAGAAAGTACTTTCATTAAGAGCTGCATTTTAATATCAGTTCATTTGCATGAATTCATTTGGGTCATGGTGGGAGGGACATTGATGATGATTTTTTATCTTCTGTGAGTCTGCCAGGTGTTCCAATTAGGTCATTTATAACCCCTACCCCTACCCCCTAGAATCCCTGAAAGAAATGCTTTCTCACTCACATGTTCCCAATGAGTACCCACCCATGGTAGTAACTGTATTTACTGACTTGATGTGCTGGGAGGAAACTGACATTTTTCTTTGCAGAGTTAAATGAACCCAGAGGATTCTTCTCTCTTTTTAATATTTTTCAAAGGCCTGGGAAACAGGCTGGGGCAATATTCCAGGGAGAGGTGGCCGCTACAGCAGACAGGAGACACAGGAGCAGGAAGGGAATCTGGTTTGGGGACAGCTCATGGGGGGATAGGAGGTTTACGGTTTAGAATCGTTGGCACATAAGCCACGCAGGGTGGCTCTCTGCTTCTTTCCCAAGCACAAGCTTTGCACTCTTCTTGACACAAACAGGGGGCAGTCTCTGTTAATTAAAGCGAGGAGCAGCAGCCACAGTGAGTCTCCTCTGAGGACAGGAGTCAAATGTCCAGGTGACACGCAATATTTTACAGAGGTTGGAAGCAGATTCTGAAATGGACTTTTCTGTCCAGATTTTGTCTCTTTTTTCTGAATTATTTTTAAAATCAAATTTATACTTCCTTAAAACTCCCAACCCTTGCAGAAAGATGTCTGTGACCTGCTGTTCTCCCCTGTCCCTGGTTAAACTCTGTCCTAATGCCTGCTGAGGCGGAGTTGGGCAGAGTGGAGGAAGAGCCCTGGGTTAGGAGTCAGGCATCTAAATCCAGCCGTGGCGGGACCATTGCTGGCCATGTAATCTCCGATAAAGGTCTTAACCTCTGAGCCACAGCTTCCTGGACCATGGAAAGCCTGCTGCAGGGTCCCTTTCCATTTCTGATTTAGTATATAAAAAACTCTCACCCTTTATATACATAATGCCAGAAGAAACTCCATTACCCGTGCCCTAAGTGTTCCTTTCCTCTCTTGGTTTAAGACAGAGTCTTGCATAAAATAGTCTAATTAATTAATACAGACCATGCATATTTTTGAGTGTTTACCATGCCTAGCACTGTACTCCAGGGCTGTGCCCTCCAGCTCTGCATGCAACCCAAAAGGCTCACATCCCTGGAGTTGCCTGAAGGGGTGGACGGCACAGCTGTGGACCGGTATGCCTGGGTTCTGGGGGCTGGGGGACATGTTATGGGAGTCAAGACCCTCTCCATTACACAGTTTACATCTCAGTGCAGGTAGACAGACGAAAACATAAACACATTATAGGAGGCAGACAGAGTTTGGATGCCTATTTTATGTGGTAGCTAGAGGGCAGTTTCTGGACTCAAATTTCATGGGTCAAATGCCAGTTCTGGCACTCATTTCCTGGAGTACTTGGGCAACTGGTTTAATTGCTTTGGGGCTCATCTCTCCCTCTGTTGTGTGGGCCTGGAACTATTCCCTAAGGGAAAGAGAGTTACAGACCAGTCACTCAATGGTTCAGCAAACAATTCCACACTGCCTGCTATATGCTGGGCACTGCTCTAAGCTTCCTTGAGGAGCTGCTTTTAGAAAAAGCAAGCTCAGTGGGTATGTTGCAGGCACTGAATAAATGTCAGTTCTCATTAGCTCTCACATACCAATGCTTGTGTTTGTAGGACTCACAAGGTGGTGGTGGGCGTGGGTTGCCAGTCATGACAGACAGACTTTCCATACTGTCCTATTTTGGGGATCCTATTATAATGAATCTGGTGGATCTGGATTAAACATGTTCATACCTTCCCCAGGTGGGTTTGGATATAATACTCCTGGGTTGAGCCACAGCAGCATGTCAGTGTCCTGCTGTGTGTTTGCAAATCTTTTTTGAAACATCAAAAGGTGAATTTTTTTTTAAAGCAAAGGGGCGATTAGCCAAACTTCCTCTCATTTGGAGAAAACTTGCAACAGAGTCCCAATAAATCCTCCCACGTGTTCTCAATTCAGGGGACCCTGGTAAACCATTTTACATGTAGTCCAACTTTTCGTTTTCTGAAGATGCCCTGAGAAGCCCTTGACTGCAGCCAAGTGGAGAGGAGGGTTGTGGAAACATTATCTCCTTGCAAATCGCCTAGCAGCCTGCAAAGTGTATACTTAGTTAATGCAATTAAAAAACAAAACGCCGGGGCGTGGGGAGATCTAAATTTGGTGTAGCAGCTTTGGTGCAAATCCTGTTTTGGGGCTACTGGAGTCAAATTCAAGCAGAGGAGAGAAAGAGGTGGGAGAAATGAGAGAGGGCCTACGGGGAGCTGGAATTCGCTAGGAGAGAGAGGGCAGATTTGGAAACACACAGGAGACGGGAGGCTGGAAGCTGAGGAAGGAAGGCAGAGCTCCGCAGCCCCCGGTGAGGATTTCCGGGGGGATTCGTGGGGACAGGGGACAGCCAGCTCCGGAGACCGATGCGCGGGCTCCAGGTCCGGGAGGGTGGCTGAGGCTGGGTGCCCAGGCCTTGCGCTGCGCCAGATCCGGGAGCGCAGAGGCGGCGCCGCGGTGTGCCCTCCTGTGGAGCGCAGAGAACGCTGCGGGGGCGAAGAGGGACAGAAAGCGGCAGGTCCGAGGGGCTCCGGGACTTCCAAGGAGAGACCTTCCAGGACACGCCATAGTCTCGGCCTTGTTTTGCAGTACCCTCCTACTCCCGACTTTCTTCGATTAGTTCATTCCAAACCCCTCTCCCCGGTGGGTGCTTACCCCCGGCCCGGGGGCTTGCCACCTGTCCTTCCCAGCTCAGCGTGGGTCCTTGCCTCGCCCCATGGAGTTGAGCCACGCGGGTTGCGCGCAGGGCTGGAGGGCGCAGCCGGGAAGGGGGAGACGGCCCCGCACGCCTGGGAGGGGCGATCCCGATCAGACTGCACCCAGTCTGTCTTGGAGTGAAAGCCATCTAGTCTGTCCCCATCCTCTCGGAGTCATCTTTTCCCTCATGGGCAGATTTCGGCCGCCGCTCCTGCACACGCACCCGTGAAAAAGCCACGAGTTGAGCCGCCTCTGCGCTCTGGACAGGTCTGAGCCGCGCCTCCCACCCAGAGAGGGCGCGGGAGGTCCCGCCGCGGTTCTCCACCTGCCGGGAAATCCGAGCGGCTCCACCAGCCTCGGTGGCTGCCGAGCTCGCTCCTCCCCGCCCGCTCGCCTGGCTCAGCTCTGCACGCCCCCCAGCTAGCTCCCGCTCGAGTCACCTCTCCCCGCGCCCCCGCCCCTCTAGAGCTCGCGCCCGCCCCCCCCCCGCGCCTCCTCTGCCCGCCCTCCTCCCCCTCCCCCTTCCCCTTCCCTCCTGCCCTCCCTTCATTCCACAAGTGTCGCTTCGCTCTCACCAGCGCACTTGGCGAGCTGGAGAGGTGAGAGGGATACTGCGAGCGGGCTCGAGGCGGCCAGTCCGGGGCCGCCCGCCAAGGATAGGCGCTGCCAGCCCGATTCTCCCCCGCTCTCCGCCCCCGCCTCCCTCGGTGGCCGGCCGGACCTGCACCTCGCGCTTGCCCCCGCTCATCCTCCCCCCGCCCGGCCGGGCGCGCTCCTCCCCGGCCGGCCCCTCGGCGCGCGGCGCGCTGGAGGCGAACGCGGGCTGAGCTGAGCGCAGTGGCCGCCGACCACCGAGCGCCCCGCGCCGCTCCCTGCATGTGCGGCCCGCGGCGGCTCGCAGCCCCCGGCAGCAGCCTCGGCAGCTTCGGCCGCGCCTCGAGAGGCGGCCGCAGCGGCTCCAGCGGCAGCCGAGCGGCCGAGCCCGGGCTGGGAGACACGATGCGCCGCGTCCTCCGGCTGCTCCTCGGCTGCTTCCTCACGGAGCTGTGCGCCCGCGTGTGCCGGGCGCAGGAGCGAGCGGGGCACGGGCAGCTGGCGCAACTGGGCGGCGTGTTGCTGCTGGCGGGGGGCAACCGCTCCGGGGCTGCCTCCGGAGAGGCCAGCGAGGGCGCTGAGGCATCGGACGCGCCCCCGACCCGGGCGCCCACACCGGACTTCTGCCGGGGTTACTTCGATGTCATGGGCCAGTGGGACCCGCCATTCAACTGCAGCTCGGGCGACTTCATCTTCTGCTGCGGGACTTGTGGCTTCCGGTTCTGCTGCACATTTAAGAAGCGGCGACTGAACCAAAGCACCTGCACCAACTACGACACGCCGCTCTGGCTCAACACCGGCAAGCCCCCCGCCCGCAAGGACGACCCCTTGCACGACCCCACCAAGGACAAGACCAACCTGATCGTCTACATCATCTGCGGGGTGGTGGCCGTCATGGTGCTCGTGGGCATCTTCACCAAGCTGGGGCTGGAGAAAGCGCACCGGCCCCAAAGGGAGCACATGTCCAGGTGGGCTGCCTCCCCTTCGCCCTCCCCTCCCGGCTTCGCTCTCCTGGCTCTCTCCTCCCTACCTTCCCCTAGGCAATGGCGCTCCCCCAGGTCCCCGCTCCCTGCATATCAGCCTCTCCGCTGGGGGATGTCGCCAGGAAGCCAACTTCAGCTTGGAGCGCGGAGAAGGGGCTCTGGGCTCAGCACAGGTGTGGGTATGAGCGTCTGCGTGAGTGTGTGTGTGTGTGTGTGTGTTTGTGTAGGACTCTGCCCCCCTCGCCCTCTGGCCGCCTTCTCTGGCTGGTGATTGAGGTGGACTTGAGACACACAGCCTGGGAGCCCGTGGCACCGAAGTCTTGGGTTTTGGGGAGGGGGTCCATGGCACCCCTTGGATTCCAGGTGCTGGCTTCTTGGTAAACAGGGGCAGGCGAGCCGGAAAGGGAAGGGGGGCGTGTGTGAGCCCGCGCGCGCGTGTGTGTGAAGGAGGGAGGATCAGAGTGAGTGCCGCCTGCAACTCGTACGACTCGCGAAAAGGAGGCGAGGGAGGTGGAGTGAGGGGAGGGCGAGAACAAAAGCCTTGCTTGGAGCGGCCGCCTGGCTTTCTCGGAGCTTCCCTGTCCGGGCATTTCGGACCTCAGCTGCCCCCGCCCCTTTACCCACCTCATCCCTTTCTCAGACCTCCTTCTCTCCAAGCCCTGGGCCGGGGCCATCGCTGCAGATTGCGTCCCTTGCCCTCGTTGGCTTGGACTGCGGGGGCCTGAGACCCCTCCTCGCGCGCTCTTACTTCCATGCACCCTGATTTCGTCAACTTTTGGGTTTGCCTTGTTCATTATGCAAGCCCCAGCACTGGCTAGTCGCAGCAGATGGGAAAAGGCATTGGGGAATTAATAGAGCTATTTGCCTTTTTCTTCCTTTCTTTTTTAAGTGTCGAAATCGATTCGCAAACTCCGTAACTTTGGAGGTGGAGGACGCAGCCACGAGGAGCACTAAGCTCTAAGCCCCCGGCCGCGGGAGAGGCGGGGGGTTGGCTTGAGGTCCAGGCGGGCGGGGTGGAAGGAGCGACTAGCTGCCTGCGAACAGCTGGAGGGCTGGGACACCAGCTTTAACTGTCCCCTTTCCGTTCGAGCCTGGGTATGAAGTCGCTGTGTTTTCCTCTCCCCTCTACCCACCCCTTCTCCCGCGCCCCCTCCGCCGGGGGCCTGTGTGTGTGCGCGCGCGCGTGTGTGCACGCGCTCCGTCTGATGCCTAAAAAAATCTGAACAAAGAGACCAACCAAAAATAGGCAAAGGAACATCACCACCTCACTAGTAATTATTTTCTACTTATACGCAGAGTATCCTATGAGATTTTTTCTTTATTTCCAGAGAGAAGAGATTTGGGGGGAAGAGGTGAGGAAGTTCTCGGTTTGGGTCAGCAGGGAGCTGTGGGTGGATGGTGGGGTCTTGCCGCACAGAAGTGAGCTCCGAGGGGCTTCAAGAAACCCTGACCTACTAAAGGAGTAAAGCTCTGGCCCCGCCCACCTTCCGCAGCCACAGGCTGTCCTGTCCCCAGCCCCACCGGCCAGGCCAGTCCCTATTAATTCCCGGGGTCTATGTTAAGATGTGGGGACAAGTGGTCTCAGGACTGCGGCAGCGGATGTCGCCTTGGTAGGGAAAGATTCACCTCCAGACAGGTAGGCTGCCTTGCAGATTCGGGTAATTACTGCTGAAATCTCCACCAAGCCCTGTCTTCGCGAATCAGCTCTTAAAGGAGCCCTCCCTGTTGGTTGGCCTGACGGGAGGTGGGCAGGTGGGGAGAGGAGCTAACCTTTGGGCATCTATGGGAGAAAGTTATGCTAGATCAGCCCTCTTTGATCTGGGTGTTCCGGTGACAGCTCTCGGCCGGTTACCTAAGGGCCCAGTAGGGACCCAACTTCCCGGTCCTGCGGGCCCCCCCACCCCGTGCAGCTTTACTGGGGGGAAGATGGCCACAGCTGAGCGGGTTGCAGCTACTTTCTTCTGCAGGTATAGAGAGGGTCTGCCTGGAGCCAGAATCTAGAGGACCCAGTCTTGGGGTACCAGAGCCTCAACACAGGTTGTCCCAGTATACATTTTTGAGAATTCCAGAATGGAGTGGAAATGCATACTCCTGAAAAGAGAGTTGTTGATTTTTTACTGGCAGCTTCTAAGGTGTGATTTTCAACTGAAACTGCTGTTTAGTATCACCTGGAGTGCTTTATAAAAAAGTCCTGTTACCAGGGGTCTCACCCTAGGTTACTTAAATCCAAATCTCTAAAGTGGGACCTAGGCAGCTGTACTTTTTATTTTTATTTTTAGTAGAGATGGGGTTTCACCATGTTGGCCAGGCTGGTTTCAAATTTCTTACTTCAAGTGATTCGCCCACCTTGGCCTCCCAAAGTGCTAGGATTCCAGGTGTGAACCATTGTGTCTGGTTGCCTCTGCACTTTGAAAAGCTCTCCAGGTGTTGCTAATGTTCCCCCAATCACTGTTAAGGAAAAGGAACTAACACCTGCTGAGCAATGTACATGGAGGCAGGCACCGTGCTGGGGGTTGTGTGTGTGTGTGTGTAAAACACCCTCCCATTTAGTTCTTGCATGAGACAGGTATTTTAATATCCGTGTACATACAAGAAAATCATGGCTCAGGTAAGATGCTGTGTCCAAGGTCACACAGTTAGGAAATTGTGCATTACCAGTCTCCCAGTTTTGAGTCTGCGACACATGTTTTCAGACTGAATAAACATCAGGATCTGGAGCAGTGTCCTAAAATGCAGATTCTTGAGTTTGACCCACAGAGATTCTGAATCAATAAGTTCTGAGTGGGTCCGAGAAATCTTCATTTAACAACCCCCCCCCTCCGCTAATGGCTCTGAGATAAAGTGGTCCACACTTGGGAAAACACTAGTCTTGGATTTGGGAATATTTCATAGGGTTGGGGAGTGGATAAATTAATCCAGGAGAAAGGAGAGGAGCCCCTGTGACTCTCTTATTTGCATTTTTTTTTTTTTTTTGAGACAGAGTGGTGCTCTGTCATACAGGCTGGAGTGCAGTGGCAGGATCTCGGCTAGTTGCAATGTCTGCCTTCCAGGTTCAAGCAATTCTCCTGCCTTAGCTTTCAAAGTAGCTGGGACTACAGGTGTGCACCTCCATGCTTGGCTAATTGTTTTATATTTTTAGTAGAGACAGTGTTTCACCTGGCCTGGGGTTGGCCAGGCTGGTCTCGAACTCCTGATCTCATGCAGTCCACCCACCTCTGGCTCCCAAAGTGCTGGGATTACAGGCATGAGCCACTGTGCTCAGGCTTACTTGCATTCTGTTGCTTGTTTCTGTGATGTTGGGGCTGTCCCCGGTACCTGCCAAATGTGTCCTGGGCTGCTTATGCAGTTAATCATCTGGAATCCCAGCTATGGCAATTGACTTAGTAGCCTTTGCTGGATGGTGCTAAGGGATGCTCCAGTGGGTGCCAGCATGCCAAGCTTGGCATCAGAGAGGCTGCTATGACGCAAAGCAGCTTCCAGGTGAAATTAACCTGACTGCCACAGCCTCTTAATTTTTGTCTGGAGCTGCACGGGACCCTGAATGGGGGTTTGTTCGTATCTGGACTGAGAGCATATTCTCTTGAAAGACAACCATGTTGTCACGCCCCCCCCCATTGTAAACTTTGCCCCTGGTGGCCAGTAAACTTGGGTTTTCCTGCAGAGGTCTCCAAGATACCAGTTTGCAGGTTCAGAGTACTAGGCCTGTGGCCTGCTTCCTTCTGGGCTAATTAGGGCTGAGAAAAGTAGAAAGGCAGCAATTCCGGGAAGCCGTGCGGGGAGGCGTGCACGGGATCTAGTAAGAACTGAACAAATGCCCATTCAGCAGCTGCGAGAGCAGCCACAGTCAGCCACTATTGATTAGAATAAATGACTGTGAATGGTAACCAGCTATGGTTACCAAACCGTGTAGACATGTTCTGCTTGATCTGCAAGGTATTTCTATTTAGGTGTTTTTATTTTTAAGTTTTCCTCAATTTTGTGTTGTGAAAAATTGTAGACATCCACAAAAACCTTGAAAAATCATAAAATAACTTCAGTATATCCTTTATTTAGATGAGGATTTCTCAACCTTGGCAGTATTGACTGGAGAATCCTTTATTGTGCGGGTCTGCGGTGCTGTGTGTTTGCCGGCATCTCTGGTCTCTGCCCACTAGATGCTGGTAGCACGTACTCCACACCCCGGTTGTGACGGTGAAAAATATCTCTGGACATGGCCAAATGTCATCTAAGGGCAAAACTGGCCCTAGTTGAGAACCACTAATCTAGATTGAGCAATTATTAGTATTTTACCATAGTTGCTTTATTGGTCACACACTCTCTCCATATTTTTTGCTTCCCTTCTCCCTCTCCCCCCTCTTTCCTCCTGCCCTTTCTCCCTCCCTTCCTCCTGCCCCTCTGTCTAGCCTTCCTTCCTTCCATCCTCTTTTCCTCTCTCCTTTCCTTTCCTCCTCCCTTCCTTCTTCCCTGCCTTTCTTCCTCCGTTTTCCCTCTCTCCCACCCTCTCTCCCTTCCTTCCTTCTTTCCTTCCTTCTGCCTTTCCTCCTTTTTTCCCTCCCTCCCTTCCCTCCCTCCCTTCTCTCTTCCAGTTCTTCCCTTCCTTCCTCTCTTCTCATCATCTTCCCTTCCTCCTTTTCTTCCTTTCCTTTCCCCCTTCCTCCCTTTCTTCTTTCTTTCTTTGCTGAAATGTGAAAATAAGTTGCAGACCTGACACTTAGTCCCTAATATCTCAGCATGGGCTTTCCTGAGAGCAAGGACATCCTCCTACACAGTACAATTTTATTATCACACTCAGGAAAAAGAATGCAGATCCCATAATATCATCAGACATCCAGTCATTAAAAAATTTCTCACTCGTACAAAAAATGTCTTTTAGAGCTCGGTTTTGCACATCAGGACCCGGCTTATTGTATTTGGCTGTGAAATCTCTTTAGTCTCTATTATGCCTGGTGTTTTAGAACCAAGTGAGACTCAGTTGCCAGCATTTA